TATCGAAAACTGGGCAGAACAAAACACCCTTTTTGTCATGAGTCTATGCCCACTTATTAGTATAACATTTCTGGGAAGTTATTTGTAAAGTTGCCGTTTATGTATGACACCGCATATGTGAACCAAAACAAATACATTTTATATTTGATTTGCCATTTTCCTGGACGTTTTTCTTATTCTGAAAGTGTGTTCTATAGATATAAAATTTGCATGAACTCACGAGAATGTAAAAGAAATAAACATTGAAATACGCCATATTTCAACATGTTAATACTATAATTTGATTGAAAAAGATGCAAAAGTTGTTATTTATTTTCTGGATTGGAAATAGTTGTAAATGTAAGTACATCAAAAGTCATCAAAATGTATCTGATTTTTGTCAGCAAAACAAATTACAATATGTTAATTAATCCTCCTCTGCAACGGCGGAAAATTTATCTACAAATCCATCTACACTTGGTTTTGTTTGAGGGCGCCGTCTTTTTTCTTTATACTCATCTGAATTACGATATCTTTCAAATTCGCGTGCAAATTCTGCACCGGCGTCAAAACTCATGTCAAGTATTGCTCTGGGCGTAGTTCCAATAAACTGGTCGTCAGTTACGCTATCGCCATCTATTGATGTATTTAGACTACTGATTGGTAAATTTAAGTCGTGATTTTGCTCTGACAATTTTATATTATCTGTCTGCAATTTTGCATCGTCCTGAACATTGTAATCACGGTCGATATCTTCAATAAATATTTTTGCTGAACTGTTGTACTCTTTATATATTTTACTTACTGATCTTTGAAGTGAGATAATATCACGGTTCATCTCATCAGTTGAATCATTTACCTTATCTGTACTTAACATAGAATTGTCACTCACTGATCCGGGCAGTGTATCGATGTCAGTTACCGTACTGTTACTGACCAGTCGACTTATACTTACCTCAGGGCTTCGAATATATTCTCGTTCATTTCGAATATCAATGGACACGACTTCTGCCTTACTAACGTTTTTCCTAAAATAACCAATATAAAAATACAATATTACTAAGAATAATAGGAACTCGGCAATTATGTGGATTTCTTGGAAGTTTTTGTTCTCCCTTTTTATCAAGCAAGATAATCAAGTTCTCATTAACTTTGTGTGTATATTCAGGAATAATAATAACTTGGTGGTTGTAGTTTGTCTCAGCTGCAGTCTTCTTTGCAAACATCTGCGTGATATTTATGCGTAAAACATAATGATAATTTTATGAAGGAAACTAGTAGTACATATATAACATGACAAGTCGGTGACAATGATGTCATCGCTAACACAATGTTATATGAAGCGATCGGTTCACACGCCAGAACATAAACTCACCTGAATCGTTTCCGAAATCGCCTACCAATTCCAGAAAAGTTCGCAGATGTCTTACTACAACACTGGCCCATTGCGTAGAAAAAATGGTAGTTTTGATTTACCGTAAAGTGTATGATATTTAGCGTTAATACTTAGAGATTCACAATATAGATGTGGTTTGCTTGGTTGCTAAGAGCGTACAAGCATCGAAACATGGAACAACTCCGGCACGTGACAGTATTTCGAACTTTTCCGAGTGCGTTGCCTTGATACGAATTTGTGCCACTAGAGGGCGTAAACTTGAGCGCCTTCTCGAAGAGCAATGTCTGGCTTC